CACTTTGGTTTTAGATACACCCACATCTTCCTCTATGCATCTACAAGATGTCTCTGGTCTGGCTTGAACTGATACCAAAACATTTACCTCAGATTCTTCATTTTCATTGTTATATGTTTTTAATCTGCATGGGTTTGTTAAAACATCCACATTGAATTAGGTTGCTCTGTATTTTCCGAAATATGCGTTTATCTGGCTGTCTTCTCTCGGAATATCTGGAATACGATAAATTACAACCACGTATGCAGGATGCAAGAAAACCGTCTACAGAAATTCTCTTCTTTACGGTGAGCTTGTAGAGGATAAGAGGAAACCGGGTGGAAAACTCAAGAGGTACAAAGATATTTTCCATGAAAACTTAAAGGGGATAAGTATGCAGCATCAGTGGGAGGAAGCAGCGCACAATAGAACGGAATGGAGAAGAATGGTAAAGTCAGTTAAGAGCGACAACCAAAAAGTAAAGAGGCAACAAAGTAGTGAGATTTTTGAATGCCCGGATTGCGGAAGAGAGATAACTTAACGTATCGGGCTTTTCAGTCAAAGAAAAGCTCATGAAAGAAAACGCCTTACGTAACCGTTTTCTGATGCGTGTCAAGTACTCGTCAGAGAGTAATGGCAGTAAGTATTTTTTAGTAAATAAAGGCTTAAAAATAGTTTGGTTATTTTGATTGAATATCCGTACTAGTTTGTATACCCTTCAGTTAGAGTTGCCAGATTGTTATAGTTAAATTCCGGGATAGTATGCTCGGATAAATAAAAAAAAATGTCAACGCTCCTACAAAATACACATCTTAGTTTAGTTTGGTTTGGAAATTTGGAAATAACTTAAAAGAAGGACATAATTGCAAATTATTAATTTATCTTATTTTTAACCTATAGTTTCCCATCTACCATTGCCCCAGGGTTGAGAAGATGCCTTAAAGCCACAATACCATCCTGGACAGTCTGGCCCAGTCCGACCCTGTTTACAGATGGGGATTGAGGTATTAATGCCGCATATATGTAATCTCTTTAAAGCTAGCCTAGCATGGTAAAAGGTTAAAGTCATATCTCTTCCTAAGTTAGGCAAGATATTGGACCTAACACCAAAGTCATATAGACCCATAAGCCTATCCCTTTTACTGAAAACTCAGATACGACTGTCTGTTTTAGATGAGTTAATAACTAGGCTTATATCAAAGTCGATAAAGGACATATTCATATACGTAGGGTATAGAGAGAGCAATGGCCGTTTTTTTAGATATCGATCATTCAATAATGCTACTAACAACCCACTAGTAAATGCAATAAGTAGAAGAGGTTGTAGTTTCCCGCAGTACTAAGGAAATTGATAAAGTTCGCCTTAGAGAACAAGGCAGTGACATTCACTCTGGGACAAACTACATCAAGGTAGTAGTGGGTGGAGGTTGTCCACATATTAGACTAGATCAGATTCCTAGAGGTGGCTCTCGGCCTGATCCACTGCGACCTTCTCAGATCTATTGTGGTCCTCTTCTGATTCTTAGGTTACATTTTCCAATCCTATCCTTTTCGCAAAGTTTAACAACTTGGATATTGAAGAAACGTACATTTGCCGAGGCTGTCGCACTGACATAAAATGTGTTCTGACGTTTCTTCTTCAGGTTGGCAGAACCTACACACAGTGGCGGACTAAGCCTGTCGGGGGCCTGGGGCGGCAAAGCTAAATGTGGCCCCCGGCCCTTTTAGATAATGATATACTTCTAATGCACATTTAGTAAAAATTGAATGACGTATATATAATGGATGACAAAATTCAAGTATTTATACAGGGTGTCGCAGGCTGAGCCTGCATTAGAAGTTACTAGAGAACTACAATATATAGATACGAGATTTTGTGCATATCATTGTTTTACAATGAGATCTATCGATTAAAAATATTTTCAATATGGTGGCACTTTCGGAAGTACAGGAAGGTGTCAGCTACTTTCTTATTTTAAATGGGTGACCCCGTTTTTTATTACATACTTAAATTCTCTGTAAAATTTTATGAATTTGGATATTAAACACTCTATACCTAACGTTAACCATTTTTGAGAAAAAAAAATATTTATAATTTTTGGAGGAAAAAAACTGCCTGTCAAAAATATGTATATAGCCTAAACGTCAAATTTGGTGATTGTCACAGTCACTGTGCCATAAAGAGAAAACATGTGGCTATCTATGTTAAAAATTAAATTGTCCGAATGTCATATAATAATGGCCGCAGCTGTCATGGAATTGAGTCATTAAAAATTTATCATAAATCATTTTTTTTCAAATGGATATCCACTTTTTTTATTTCACTCGTGAAAAGGCTTTCGTTACTTTATCATTTTTAAAATTTTTTACTTCTTGACTATACATGTTCCTGTACCTAAAATAAATCGTTTTTAAGTTATTTAAGATTTAGTATATTTTTCTTGATTTTAACCAGTAGCCGACAGTATAAATATTATCGATCATCATTTCCAAGCTAACTTTGCGCTGTTTTTTTTCGATCGTACGATATATTATTAAAATATCAACTATTAGATATCACTACAGAAGAAAATACCAGATATATTTATATAAATACACTTTCTAAACTTTTAAGCAGCAGTAGGCAGTAGTTATTAGTTATAATATAGGAAATTCAAATAATTAATTTTCTGACAGATGGAATTAAATTGTGTGACTGTTTGACACTTAATGTCAAAGGAAGCTAGATAAAATCAAAAAAAATATACGTTTTCAAACTAAATCTTAAATAACTTAAAAACGAGTTATTTTAGGTATAGGAATATGTCTAGTTAAAACGTAACGAATTGGAAAACCTTTTCACTAGTGAAATAAAAAAAGTGGGTTTCCATTTGAAAAAAAAATATTTATGATAATTTTTTAATCGCTCAATTCCATGATAGCTACCGCCATTATTATATGACATTTGAACAATGTAATTTTTGAAATAGATAGCCACATGTCTTTTCTTTATGTCACAGGGGCTGTGATATCACTAAATTTGACTTTTAGACTGTACAATTTTTTTTGACAAGTAATTATTTTCGTCCAAAAATGTTAAATATTTTTTTCTTAAAAATGCGTCCAGGGAAATACCGCGACAAAATATCTAGATCTAGATTTTGTAAGTCCTCCGAGATCCGAAGGGCCCCTTCGCTGTCTCAGGCCCGTGGCCCCCGTTATACTAAAGACTTCACTACTTCACTGCTCATCATCAGTAATGAAGCTAGAATACAAGTTATGCTCTGCATTGGTTGTAATTTAAAATGTTTATTCAGTAAAAATGTAAGTAATGAAACCATTGAAAAATAACTTAAAAGCTAAAATAAATAAATTCAGTCTCAATATATATAAAAAAATAATAATTATTCGATATTTTAAACAAAGAAAATTACCCCTTGATTTAACTTCCTAAATAGAAAATGCCATTGACAATTACTGGGGCATGATAATTGATAATTAAGTAAATATCTGCTTCAATTTATACTGTTTATAGTTGGAGTGTACGTAGGGTTTGCATACTCCACCTACAGACTGCTTTATAACTACTACTGAACACATATTGGCCTTGTTTGCCAGTTGAATAAAAAATTACTTATTAAGATTCGGAGGCCCCCTAAAAGACGGGGCCCGGGGCTGACCGCCCCTTCCGCCCCCCCCCTTGTCCGTCACTGCCTACACATAGCTTCGTCCATCAATCAGATTGTCTTTAGATGTGTATTCAGCTTACAATGCCCTGTTAGTAGACCCACTACAGCTTTGACTGACTTTCTGTCCTTGCTTATCATGTCTACCGTGAATTTTGGCGAATGTTCTACAATGAACTTTTTCGCCTGTCTCTGCCCTGGTGTGTTTCTCCACCATTCTAGAGATTTGTTGGCCACCCATCGTTCCGTGGCCATTTCGTGACTGCCTTTGTAACGCCGCTGAAGGGTTCTGGGCCTATGAATGGCATTGATGAGACTTGCTTGGCCTTTTCATCTGCCATTTCGTTTCCCTTGTGACCCCCGTGCCCTGGTACCCAGGCCAATGTAACAATGCTACGTTCACCTAAAGTATTTAGAGCACACACCCAGTCCCACACAAGTCTAATTGACATCCGCGATGCCGAGTGCCTTTAGCGCTGCTTGGCTATCTGTCAAGATCGCCACAGAACGATGTGTTTTTTATTGCCTTATTATTTCTTCTACGCAACAGTGGATTGCCGTTATTTCTGCCTGGAAAATTGTGACATCCATAGGCTTACATGGAAAGATCTGCCTTGTTTCGGTCGCACTATTCCAGCTCCTACGCCTTCCGACATTCTTGAGCCATCTGTATACCAGGTTGCCTCAGCTTGAATGGGTACACCTTAACACCAATCTTCCCTTCCTGGTATGATTATATTAAATTTGTTGCTGAAGCTATACCTTGTAGCTGTTGCATCAAACGGTAATCCCAATAGGTTGTCCACAAGGAGGGGTGTTGTCTCCTAGTCTCCTCTACTTTGGGCAACCTGAGTAAATGACCTCCTCAACAGTCTGTCCAAATAAGACTTTGATAGCCCAAGAAATGCAGACGATATTGTGATTGTAGTAAGTGGCAGGTTTGTCGAGATGGCATCAGGAAGAATAAGGCAAGGCCTAAATAAATTATACAAATGGTGCAAAAAAAAACAAAAATCAACTTTACCAAAAAGCCTAAAATCACAAAGAAACAAAAGTATCTTGGTGTATATTTTGATCAAAGGCTAATTTTTTTTCGAAAAATACAAAACTTCGAAAATCTTTCTTTTCGCGAAAAAACCTCAAATACCTGTTTCTGAGGTCGAAATATACCACCCTTAAAAATATTTGCACTAAGACTCATCATTTAAGACTCGCCCTGTATAAGAAAAGTAGCATATTTAAAATATACCCATTTTTTCTAGAATACATACCTTACCTTAATATGAAAATTAAACTGTTCAGATTTTTAAGATATAACAATTATAAATAATTATTTGTATATAAAATTTCCTTTACCTGCTTGATCTACAAAACTAAAATTTCTGGTTACATGTAATTGTATGCAAATATATATACTTGTTACCAAATTTGAATAAACTCATGATTGAATATCTTTATAGTTTACATATTATATTTCCAACTATAACCCCATTTTTACAACGTGTAATTTTCCAATATTAAATTATTATATATACAGTAATTATGAAGTATTTTAACAACATAATTTTTTTAAATTACTAAAAAGTTACAACCTATATCGTAAATAATAAATATACGTCATTATATACGTCGTACCCATCGTCGTACCTAGTTTATCAAGTAAGTTATCTTCACTCATTTTTACTATTTAATAGTTTTATTATTAAAATCTATGTATAGGGTGTTTTTTGTCATATTTTTTAGTGAATTAAATTTTTAACTAGAATAAGAATAGCCCCCCATACACCAGAAGATTTGGCCTGGGGATTTAGTCCGCGGACTTGGCCTGTCGTTGGTACGTGACGGTACATGACTTAAAAACCTCGTGTTTGTGTGGCAGACCAGGTCTGTGACAGGCAGAGCAGATAAATGTTTATCGGAATAAAAACTGTGGCTTAGAAAAAAAGAGCGTTACAACTGACAAGTCCGCTGACTATATCTTTCGTTCTTTTTTTTAAAGCAATTCTATTTTGACAGATCAAGTCTGGGGATTTGGCCTGTGACAGGCTTGGTTCACCACACAAATGCAAAGTTTTAACCCAGAGCGAAAAACCCAGAAGTTCTTTTTGAAGAAATTAATATTGATACACCACAAAGGTATACAGGGTGTCCCAGGTTGAGCGTGCATTAGAAGTTTCTAGAGAACTATAATATCTAGATCGGAGATTTTTTGCACAGTACTGTTTCACAACGATTAAAAATATTTTCAATATGGCGGCACTTCGGGAAATACCGGAAGTTGACAGCAACTTTCTTATTTTAAATGGGTACCTCCATTTTTTATTGCATACTTAAATTCTCTGCAAAATTTTATGAATTTTGATATCAAACACTCTATACCTAACATTAAACGTTTTTGAGAAACCTAATCTAACCTAACCAAAAGTTCGTTAACTTTTTTTTTCACTAGTGAAAAGGCTTTTCAATTTGTTGCTTTTTGACTACACATGTTCCTATACTTAAAATAAATCGTTTTTAAGTTATTTAAGATTTAGTTTCAAAGCGTATTTTTTTCTTGATTTTATCTAGCTTCCATTGACATTAAGTGTCAAACCATCAGACAATTTATTTCCTTCTGTCAAAAAACTAATTATTTGAATTTCGTATATTATAAATACTCCTGGTAAAACTTTATAAAGCGCTTTTAGGTTTGCAAAATTGCTGGCTAGTTTTAAAACCAGCGAAGTGTCCATTTTAGCAGTAACATATTACATTATTAGAACAAATCTAATTAAGTATAACAACACGCGTGGAATTGCCACGTAGCATGTTCGACATATACCGATTGAGAGCTTTGCGTAAAACATAAGATATGTTTAAGCCTTGACCGCAAAAAGGAATAAGAAATTCACACAACCAGTCATCTGTCGAATTGTTTTTGTGCAATTTTGTGTAAAAATACGTTTCATAAAATTTATTTCTCTCTTCACTTCTTCTGTGAACAGAGAGCACTTTGGGCAATTATGAAAAAGTTCGGAGTACCCATCAAATTTCTCACAGTGTGTAAAAGCCTCCATAACAACAACAAATCAAGAGTGTCATATTATGGATCACTGAACGATCCCTTCCTAACAAACACAGGCGTTAGACAGGGTTGTGTCTTAGCGCCTCTCCTATTCAATATATTCATGGCAGCGCTCTCCATTATAGTGGACAGCAAACTGCAGGAGAGAGGTTTGGGCATTAGATACAGATACGATGGCGGTCTGTTCAACATAAAAAGACTCAGGACAAGAACACGTACAAAATTCATCACAGAACTTCAATACGCTGATGACTGTGCTCTAGTTGCAAATACGTTACAGCAATTGCAAGAAATGTTGAACACATATACATGGGCACACGAGGCCTTGGGACTGACGCTGAACATCGATAAAACTAAAATCATGTGCACTCCCCCGGAAGATCACAACAATGCTATAAAAATCGGAGATGAGCTGTTAGAATATGTAGCGGAATTCAATTACCTCGGCAGTTTGATTTCGGAAAAGGCCAATATCGACTCTGAAATTCAGCACAGGATTAGCAGCGCCTCAAGAGCATTCTGGAATTTAAAAGACAGGGTTTTCTACAATCATGACTTGAGCACAAAAACGAAACTTGCGGTGTACCGAGCGATAATAATTCCCACCATGTTATATGGAAGCGAAACCTGGGTGCCGTACCGCCGACACATGAACGCATTAAACAAGTTGCAACAAAGACATGTTAGACAACTCTTAAGAATAAAATGGTTCCATCATATCTCAAACGTATCGGTCCTTGAAAAAGCTAACTGCGAGAGTATTGAAGTCATGATTACAAAGGTCCGTTTGAGATGGGCTGGTCACGTATGCAGAATGCGCACATCATGCAGAAAACCGCATACCAAAATCGCTGCTTTACAGTGAGCTTGTAGACGGTAAGAGGAGGCCGGGTGGACAACTCAAAAGGTTCAAGGATATTTTCCACGAAAACTTAAAGGGAATTAACAAGCAGAATGTGTGGGAAGAGGCAGCTCACAATAGAACGGAATGGAGAAGAATTGTAATTTCAGTTAAGAGCGACAACCAAAAAGTAAGAGGCAACAAAGCAATGAGATTTTTGAATGTCTGGAGTGCGGTAGACAGATAACATCACGTATCGGGCTTTTCAGTCACAGAAAAGCTCATGAAAGAAAACGCCTTGCGTGACCATCTTCTGATGCGTGTCAAATACTCGTCAGCGAGTAATGGCGGTATGGTATTTCTCTCTTCAAATATCCCTCCACAAGCTTGATTTTCCCTAGATCTAGGGAAAATTCCTCAGACCTGGCAATCATGCCCCAATTATTTATTATCAAATTTATTCCAGTTAGCTAATATACACTCTGCATAGAGGCTTCCAAAAATATACTAAATTATATCTTTTAAATTGACCAATTCTTGAGTTGTTAAAGTCTCATTCTCACTATGAGCTGATGCGTCCATGCACGCATACTATGCGTCGCATAGTATGATGCAGTTCGTTATGACTCGATGCGGTTCGTCGCGTCGATTTGTAAATTCGCCCATTTTGTTGATATTCTGTTGATGGTTATCTCATAAACCGACATTCAGCCGAACAACCTATCGCGTTGTCGCATCAAATCGACGCATTAACGAACCGCATCAGCACATCTCTTAATAGACCTTAAAAAACTAAGGCAGTAAATAACTCAAAATTATTTACTTGAATTTGTATCATATTACAATGTGTATAAATAAATAATAAATATTATCTTTTAGTGTGCACTTAAAGTACCATTGTTTATATCTAATATTAAAACAGAAATATGGTAATAACAAGATAACAAGTGACTCGTGCGACAAATTATGTTATTTGTATATTTTTAAGTTTTATTTGCAAGAAATATTGTTACAACATATAAAATTAATGAGTTTTATATATTATGTTATTTTCATTCTAGCTGAGACTTTTTACTATTATATAGAGGGTGGACGGAGTTGTTAACTACGGCAGCATATTCTACAGCTAAAAATTAGTAAAAAAATTCGTATAAATACCGTCTCTAAAGCGCGTCTCAAAAATTCCCGCAATATTTATAAATAAGTAAATGCCTTTATTGTCAAAAAAATTTACAATTTGTAGACAAAGGTAAACTAAACAAACAAACAAACAAAAGAGAATACAAAACATTATACAAATAACATTGTCAGTGTTATTATTTAAAATAAACATTTATAAATGTTTACAATGTCAAAGAATAAAAGAATAAAAATAATATTCAAAAATATTTAGTTAGTTTATAGTAAATATCAATGACCTCTAAATAAATTTATTTGAAATGAACAAAATACACAGCTTTAGTGTATATTAATAAATATTTTCTTGCCTTTAGCTGTGTATTTTATCTAATTTCGAAAAATCGAAAGTAGAGAAAACAAAATAAAAAGTAAAAAGAAAATTGTTTTGCTTGTCGTAAAGGGGAGAACCAAGCTCCACTCCCACAACCGGTTTCTGGGTCTACCCTTCATCAGGTGGGCTGTCCAGGGGCTGGTTCTCACCGATACGGCAAGCAAAACTTTTTCAATATCAACAGACGATGTCGTAAAGTGTCGGTGAGATATTAGTGCATCTCCCGTCTCTCGTCAGAAGATGGTAAAGAGCGTGCCCGCTCAAATATATATGAAATGAACAAAATTCTTACAGCTTTCCACATTGATGAAGGGTAGGCCCAGAAACTGGTTGTGGGAGTGGGGCTTGGTTCCCCATTTACGACAAGCAAAACAATTTTCTTTTCATATTTTATTTTTTTTCTCTACTTTCGATTTTTCGAAATTAGAAAAAATACACAGCTAAAGGCAAGAAAATATTATTTATTAATAAATTTATTTCGATGTCATTGGTAAATATAGCAATAATGATAAGGGGCAAGGTAGACAATAGGTTTTTCAAATATCTTGGTTTTAATCGTAAAGGTGCGTATTCATTATCCGAACGAACGAACGAACGAACGAATGAAAGTGCGGTATATTTAGACGGGGACCGAACGCATGCGGCCGTTCGTTCGTTCGTTCGCTCGACCATCCATTTCGAGTCGGTACATCAAAGGCGTTCGCCAACAAATGCCTCCGGTCTTCTCGTGCGGTCCCCGTCCATACCACTAGCGAACATTCGTTCGTTCGTTCGTGCGGATAATGAATACGCACCTTAATAGGTTTCGTACCATTTAAAAAAAAGGATAACGCGTCGCAGAATAACACTTCATAGGTGAGAAAATTTATTCGTGTTTAAACAAAATTATTAACCTCATGTAGCCTCACCTTCCTATATACTCACGAGCCGCCACTGATTTTTTCATTTAGTACTGTTAACTCAGGTACGGACGAAAAGTTATTACTCTTCAAAACACGAATGAAAACACTATGAAAAAATATGTAGGTAGCGTCCTCTACAGGTAAGAGTCATACTAGAATGGAAATCGAATTTCTCATGACAAAAAACACCCAGTTTTCATCCAATAATTAGGTAATTCAGAAATTATTTTGAGAAAAATCGAAATAAAAATGAAACTTCTACGCCCTGTATATCCGAAACGAAGCATTTTAGGACACACGTTTATACAAACTTTTTTATTTATTTTTATCTGCAGAATTTGCTGCCGAAGTTTCTCGAATACAATTCGGACCACCCTGTATATTGTGCAATAATATTCCTACCTCTTAAGGATTACCAGGTGTGAAATAAAACCTTATATAAGTATGATGAAAGATATTTATTACTTGGTAATTTTAACAAAAAAGTTTAATACATTTTTAATTATTCTAATTTCTTCTCTACAAATACTCCTTTGCGCCCTAGGAGTGGTTTTTCTGTAAAATAAAAAATACTAGTAAAATAGGGAAAGTACAATTAGTACAAAATCACAGAGGAGTAATGTTACTTTAGTTATTTTATTATAAATCACGAAAATTTCATTTTTTTAACTATTAGAATCGAATAAGTAGGGGTTTTTATGACAGGCAATTATTGACCACCATCTAATGATGCAAGTTTATCTATCAGAATTTCAAATTATCATTACCCTGTACCAGCCTGTACAGATCCCATGTATAAAAATATTAAAAATGGTCCACATCCGTGATAGGTATATTATTACACAAATCAAACTTGCAAAACAAAAAATTTAATCATTAGAGATAAAGAGAGAATTGGCTAACTGATTGTGAAAAGCAAATATAGACTGTTTATTAAGAAATAAAGTATCTATCAGTGAAGATGTCAGGTGGCAGATGTAAAAAAAAAGTTCGGGGGAGTAAATACATAATAATATACAGGGTGGTCTAAACTGTATTCCGGCAGCATATTCTGCAGATAAAATTAAGTAAAAAAGTTCGTATATGTATGTCCTAAAATGCTTAGTTTCGGAGATACAGGGTGTAGAAATTTCATTTTTATTTCGATTTTTTCCAAATAATTTCTGAAGTAACGTCAATATTTGACTGGTGTGGTGTCTGGGAGTTTTTTGACATGATAAATTTGATTTTGATAGCAATATGACCCCTATTTGTGACACCACTACTTAGTGAAAAAATATACATTTCCGTGACTTTTTATGTAAAAAAATATCCTTGTAAAATCGCTACGAACAACCGTTCTCAAGATATTTAGAATAGAAATAGTCAATACATGTTGGTGTCATTATGACAAAAAAGAGACACGTTGAGTAGATAGTTATTTGACTGAAATAATAAATTTGGGAAAGTTATATTTTTTTAAATTAATTTTTTTTTTCTGCGAAAAAATCATAAAACTTTTGACAGAAAAACATTTCAAATTTATGATTTCCAGTCAACATGTTTAATTTATGTCAATAATGATAGGTTTTGATAATTGCGATTCCAAAAATCTCGAGAACCATTACTCATAGCGATTTCTATAGTCTGTGAAACGAATAACTTTGAATTTGACAGTTCCCGCGGGCTTTTCTAGTGTTAATTTTATTAGGTTAGCCTTAGAGAAGGAAAGAGAGGGGACAGGTAACACGGCAGCTGAAAGTGAGGCAAGTTGTCACCACGCGAAATTCTCCAATGGCGTAGCATCAGGAATTAGCTTGTACCTAGACGGTACAAAATATTTATTAAAACGTTAACTAATATATCGTTCATTTTTGAGTAATGTTTATACAATTTTGTATTTTATAGTCTCACCTTTATAATAATAGAATATCTAAGTCGATAATGCAAAATTTATTTAACAGTCACAAGGGACTGATTATCAAGACAATTATTTATTTATTAACGTGTGTATAATGTATAATAACGTGTGTATAATGTATAATAACGTGTGTATAATAAAACTTATTAACGCGTGAATAATAAAAAATAATGTAATAACATATGTTTTAAACGTGTATATACATATATACTGTATGATCGAAAAAAACGGGGTCTTGTTTGTTTGGAAATGACAATTTCACAAATGAATATTAAAAATTACATTATTCATTGAATCCGTAAGCAAGTGTGAAGGGAATTGACTAGATTCATTATTATACTGTATAATCGAGAAAAAAACGACGTCCAGTTGGATTGTAAATTACGATCGATGATATTCCCCATATAATTATGCATATAAAATGACATAAAAACTATACAAAACGACATCGAAAAAGGACGGCGTCAGCGATAGCTATGAAATGAAGATCGCTGTCATTTTATATGTAAAATTATATAGGGAATGTCGTCGATCGTCATTTACAAGCCAACTAGACATCGTTTTCTTTTCGACCATAGGGTATAATAATGAATCTAGCCATTCCCCTTCACACTTGCGTACGGATTCAATAAATAATGTAATTTTTAATATTTGTTACCTTCAATCATAAGAATATCCTAATTTTCCACAAAAAATAAACAATTCTAGAAGCTTTGTGTTATTTTATTTATTTTTAAATTTTTATTAATTACTCACTGAGACTATTATTATACACCTAAATTAGCAAATTTTTTGAAAGAATATTTATAAAAATATATGTAGGAACAAGAAGCCCACCACAAGTTTGTCCACCCCGAGCAAATCTTGGCAGGTAAATTTAAGTTTTATATAACAACTATACATATAGATTTTTTATCACTAGAATTTTTAATTTTTTTTATAGTTTACAATTATTTTACATATTTGATAACAATACTTTATACATTTTTTTACATGTAAAATATATAAAAAAAAGTTTATTGCAGAAATTGTATTTCTCTGATTATAATTCCCTACGCCACTGGAGAAATCCATGCTGAGTAGCATTATTTATAGTTTCAAACATTAATTATAATAAAGGATATTGAAAATATTACTTGGAATTATTAAAAATAGTTTGGTTTGGATGTGGTACAAAACATATTAAAAGCATTTTACATATTTTTACTGCTATAATGAAAAAATGTACATTTTATGACCACATAACAAAAGTTGTGTATCGATTTTTACCTGTGAAATGTAATTCCAGCCACTTTTTTCTCGTTTCGGCCTTTGCAGCCATACGCTGAACATCTCACCATACTAAACAATACAGTTTACAAATTTAAAACAAAACAGTTGTCACAAAAAACATAAAAATTCTCTCGGTGTCACCTCGAAATCTTGTCACCAAAGTATGGCCGCCGATCGAATTTTGGCCTCACTAACCGATCACGGGAGAATATGCGTGTTAGCCGTCCCCTCTCTTTCCTTGTCTAAGAGGTTAGCAACTGGCGGCCATGCTGACGCAATGCCGTCTCTAATAGAACAGCCTCGGAGCGAGATTTATGACGTCACGCTAGTTAGATACTACGGATTAATAAATATGTTGTAGAATACATGGAAAATATAATTAATCCTCGTATTTTTGGTTACATTGATTATGGCTGAAATCGTACTCCATAGTCAATGTAGATAGTTTTAGTGTGAAGAATAATAATTTTAAAAAATATGTGGTCATCTTTTGACAAGTTTATATTAATTTATTAATTGCAGTAAATATTATGTGGTGTTAGGTTAGATTGTGAATATTTTATATGTAATTTTTTGGATTATATTTGACACAATTTTTTTCATATGACACAACACTGATGAAGGCTATAATGTTAGCCGAAACGTTTTTTTAAACCAAAAAATATAATGAAAACGCAAATAAAAACTTAATTAGCGTTTTTCCCTAACATAAATCCCAAAAAAATCAAATATTTTAGAATAATTTTACATATAAAATGACAGCGATCTTTATTTCATAGCCATCGCTGACGCCTTTTTTATGATATTGTATTATTTGCAAATATAATTTTTCAAACATTAATACTTGCAAAATATACATATAAATTTTGTGAATGCAAATAATAATACATCACTATTAGTGATGAATGTTTTTTGTTAAATTAGATCGTATATATATATTGTATTTATTAACTGTATATTATGTATATTTCATGTAAACTATATCATTTTTAAAATACAAACCAAAAATACGAGGAATAATTATGTTTTCCATGTATTCTACAACATATTTATTAATCCGTAGTATCTAACTAGCGTGACGTCATAAATCTCGCTCCAAAGCTGTTCTATTAGAGACGGCATTGGTCTGATATTTAGAAATGTCGAAAGCTGATGACATTTTACTTTTGACAATTATTACATTTTGTGTTGATTTTGGCAAGAAAAGGAAGAACTGTCGCTTGTTTTATTATTTTCCTTTTCTATTTCACAAAAGTAAAAAGAGTTACCTATCTGATTCGTTCAGGCATTCAATTTAAAGAATATCAGTAACTTTTTTGACAGAGGGATTTTATATTTGCAATGTTGGTAAAAAATAACGGTCAAAATTCAAAGTTATTCATTTTATAGACTATACCAAAAAACCTTTTTTACGCAAAAAACATCGTGAATTTATATTTTTTAACTCAGTAGTTTTATACAGGTACGGACGAAAAGTTATTACTCTTCAAACCAGTTAAAAAATTGTAGGTAGCGCCGTCTACTAGTAGGAGTCATATTGATATCAAAATCAAATTTCTCATGTCAAAAAACTCACAGACACTAATTTTCATTCAAATATTGACGTTACTTCATAAATTATTTGGAAAAAACATCTACATCCTGTATCTCTGAAACTAAGCATTTTAGAACATACTGTTGCGGACCGGTGTGGACTCGACCTAACCTAACAATATGGCCCGCCCTCGGATGAGCTTAACATCGCATAGACACCGTAATGATTCATTCGAAGATTCGAGAAGTATCGAGTCCCACTGGAATGGAGTAGTACATACGAGAACATTCGAAACCTTCTCTATGCACCTAACGATCTATGGACTATTCTAGTAACCTTTAGCTGTAGGTATAAAAGCCGGCGGCTGTGGCCTAGAGAGGGCAGTTATAAATAGACAAGTACAGTTGACGCGCTAAAATTCAAAATAAATTATTAGTTATAAATCGTTTGTAAAAAGTCTTTTAATTGTTATTGTTTTTGTTAATTAGTGTTAAATAAATAGTGTTTAAATAAATTGTGACTTTCTATCCACACGGAACCGACGAAAAACGTAACAATACATTTATACGAACTATTTAGTTATTTTTATCGGCAGAATATGCTGCCGAAGTTTCTGGAATACAGTTCGGACGACCCTATATAATGCAATCAGTTAAATTGTTATAATCAAAATAAGGTATGTTGTAATACAAACTGAACAATGCAAAATTAATTATAAAAATATGTAAAAATATCAAATGCCAAAAATTCTTAATAAAAAATATCGATTGTCAAGAAAAATTAAATAGGTAGACGATACGATCGAAGACATACAGGGTGTTACACTCGATGTTACATTACACACACTTACATTACACTCAGACACTGATTTTCATCCAAATAACGATATTTCTGAATTAACAGAAATAATATGATGAAAAAAACGACATAAAAATGAAAATTCTACACCCTGTATCTTCGAGACGAAGCATTTGAAAACATGACGGATCACAATTCGGATCACCCTGTATACTAAAATAACGTAAACGTAGACAGTGGATAACGCTTATTGGAGCTACTGATATCTATAATTATTATTTACGTTTTTTATAGTTACCTTGAAATGTTCGAATTGCTGCTTGTCTGGTCTCTTCAGACACAAATGTAATGTAACCATTTCCATATTTAATCTGAATCTGCAGAACAGTGTTTATGTCGATAATCTCTTTTAGGTTCTCACAAATTGCCAATCGTGTGGTGCTTGAAGGTAAATTCTTAAAAACAATGGATTTACCCTAAAACAATAGTAAATAATCACCTATGTATGTTCAATACAATGATTTTAGACGTTATTGTCTACTGGTATCTATTTTGGTTGGTATGTATTTAATTTTTAGTATCTGGTACCTATTTAATTTTTAATATAGGATATAACTATACCGGGTGCGTCTCAAAAGTGACTCACCCCCTATAACTTTTTTATTTTTTCAAATAAAAACGAGATTTGGTATGTTAGTATATGACATAAATCAGGATTGATTGACGTATTCAATTATTTTTCACTTGCTGTTTGAACGGAAATTACTACAACTTTTGATTTTTAAATGATACCCTCGGTATTGTTTTACTTTATTCCAGTGACTAAAGAATACAAGGACAAATAACACCCGAGACCAAACTGTTACCACGTGCACAGTGTTTCCGGCAGAGAACGGCCCCTTGATATTGAAAAAAAAAACTGTTACCATACTCCCAAACAGTGCCGTGGCACATATTTTTCTTAACATAGCCGCTTGAAGCGATATTTATATTTTTGATAAATATTAGTATTTTAATAAAACACGCTTTTAGATGTATCAAAAAACTTTTAATAAGAGTAACTTTAACTCTACATATATATGTTTCGGCTTGTTAGGCCTTTTTCAAGAGGTTTTTAAGAACTAATCGTCTAACTATACACTGTAACTATACAGGGTCCGGCAATAGTGCGTCGGGCATCTGTAGCTCTTAGAATATAAAACTTGAGTATTTTGTTTAAGTGCAAACCTAAAGTATGTACCAGGATGTATTTCAGGAAAATATTTTAACTTCTATAGGGTGGCTCAAAAAAGTGTGAGTGGACCTTGCTGATTTTTTTTTAAATGGAACACCCTGTATATTATTGCATTTTTGGCTTCCTTTCAGATCACTTTAGATAACCCTAAGATATGAATAAATATATTTCGATAGTTTCAGAGATATTAAAAAATAAATCAAAAATATATATTTTTCAGCCCTTCTTAAAAAGTTCTTAAAAAAATTATTAAAAATACAAGAACTGTTCTGAAATCAAAACTATATTAGGGATTTACTTTAGATGGTCTGTACTTACTTTGCTATAAATATGAAAATCGTAAATTATACAGGATGTTCAAAATTCTACGCCAAACTTTCTAAAATATAAAATAATTTTTCTTTGTTTTTTTAAAGGGAACACCCTGTATATTATATTTTCAATAGACGGAGAATTAAAAAATGAACATTTTTTGTATTTAGAGTATTTCAAAATTTTTAACGGTTTCGCAGATATTTGCGGGTTAATATTTCATATGGCATTTTCTGCAGTAAATTTTTATCAAAGCCACCCAATGATTTTTCTCTCGTATTTTGCCATTGAAAGCGCCATATGAAATAAAACTGCGCGTATCTGCGAAACCGTTAAAAATTTTGAAATACTCTAAATACAAAAAATGTTCATTTTTTAACTTTCCATCTAATAAAAAAATAATATACAGGGTGTTCCATTTAAAATAACAAAGAAAAAATATTTTATATTTTAGAAAGTTTGGCATAGAATATTGAACATCCTGTATGATTTACGATTACCATATTTATAGCAAAGTAAGAACAGACTATCTAAAGTAAATACCTAACATAGTTTTGATTTCAGAACAGTTCTTGTATTTTTAATAGTTTTTTTAAGAAGGGCTGAAAAATATATATTTTGGTTTATTTTTTAATATCTCTGAAACTATCGAAATATATTTATTTACATCTTAGGGTCATGTAAAGTGATCTGAAAGGAAGCCAAAAATGCAATAATATACAGGGTGTTCCATTTAAAAAAATCATCCAGGTCCACTCACACTTTTTTGAGCCACCCTATAGAAGTTACAATATTTTCCTGAAATACATCCTGGTACATACTTTAGGTTTGCACTTAAACAAAATTCTCAAGTTTTTTATTCTAGGAGCTACAGATGCCCGACGCACTATTGCCGGACCCTGTATATATATTTGCTATGGAGGTGGGTTCAGAGAGTTTACCATAGGGGTAATAAAAAATTTGTTTAGAAATCCTTGTTGGTCGTTAACATTATTTTCATTTTTAACAGATTTTAGTATTTCTAACTGTTCAATGTAATTTAAGCGTCTACCTTTTGTTTCTCTGTGTAGTAACTTAATTGAGTTTTCATTAATTTTGTGATTATTTACTATACAATGAGTTGCAAGACCAGAATTATGCTGGTGATGATTAATAGACTTTACATGTTCTTTAATCCTTATATCTAAATTTCTACCTGTTTGGCCTATGTACACGGCATCACAATCATTGCAATCCACCCTATATACACCCGACTTATTTTTGACATTAGTTTTGTCTTTATTATTTAATAAAATTTGACCTAAATTTCTTTTATTTACGTTAATAGTTTTACATCCTATTTTATTGAGATTATTTGATATTTTGTTAGTTAAATTAGGAATGTAGTTTAAAAGTCGATAATTATTTATTGTCTTTAGAATTAGCGGAATAAAATTGATATAATTGATTAAAATTTTTGATAAATGTCTTGACTACGCCTATGGTGTATGTGGTGGTATCATACTAATTAATTATGAAAAAAAAACGTATTAAAATATTAACAAAAGGTACAAAACTGTTTATTTCCCTAAGAACTCCTGGCTCTTTTTTATCATTGCACCTTTTACACTTGAAAGCTTAACAAATTACCATTGTAATAAACGTTATGCAAAGTTCACTACACACAGCAAACTTAAAAATCGCTAAAATTATTGTCGTTGATGACCAGCTGATGACTCATTCGTTACTTCCAAAAAAATGGCGTCTAACGTCACAAATTCTGCTGCAGCACATATATTGGCGTGACATGTCCTTGTATTATTTAGTCATTGCTTTATTCGATAGAAAATCACACTCAGAATAGAATGGCATATCATATGTCAACTTTTGACGTTTTCGCATATGGTTTATTTGAAATTCGAAATACCAAGTGTGTGGTACCAAATTATTCGTAAAAAAATGCTTTTTCAAACATGCCAATGAGCCACCGTTGTTCCATTTGAAAAAAATGAGATATGAGTAAAAATACAACATGAGACGATCAAATATATTTTTCCAAAGCTCCTTGATTAAAAATTAGTGTTTTTAACCCACCCATGGCACGCTAGATTGAAGTTTAAAATACGATTTTTTTAAGCGAAAATGTCAAAAGTTAATATGTGATGTCATTTTATTCAGAATGCCATTTTTTATCGAATAAAGTAAAATTATACCGAGTTTGGGTGCCAAGTTGTGAATTTGAATATTAATACTAAATTAAGAACGTGCATTCGTCATTTTAGTGAAAGTGTTTATAAAAGTGAACACTGGTTATATGGTTGTAAGGCACTCAATAAACTTTTTTGTTGACCTTGTCTACTATTTTCCAAGGAGAAAAATGTATGGAATACTACCGGCTACGATGATTTCTGATGAACTTTGAAAGTTCATTACTAGAGAGTATGCGTTCTTCTCCTTCATTTGAAGAAAATGTAAAATAAAAGTTATCGCAAATATGCATACTAAAAAAAAGAAAAAAAATATTGTTTTGGTAAAATGTTAATTGCATCTGTGTAATATATTAAATAATATCCCTGCTCGGCACCTACCTACAGTATTGGCCAAAAGTAGATGAACCAATACCAATAATTGCGAAGAAAATCAGATTTGAGGTGTTAAATATCAAAATTATTTTATGTACCTTTGTATGTTTAAAGTTTAATACATTCTCACCAAAATACTACAAACAAATATAAATTCTTCTATTAGTCTTATCATTTATAGATAAGAATTGGCAAATATTGCTTTTTTGTCTTGGACAAAAGTAGATGAACCAAATATTTTTAAAAATCGTTAGTTTCATTTGTTCTGCTTTTATGAACAATTGCGATTTAAAAACATTTGAGCTCTTGTGATATATCATGCCACGTGGAATTAACTTGTCTGCAGATCTTAAGTTGCGAGTAGTGAATGCTTTTAAGGATGGTTTGAAGCAATCGGAAATCGCTAAGCAATTACGCCTTGGAAAATCAGCGGTACATTATATTTTAAAGAGATATAATGAGAGAGGAGATGTCTCTATAAAAAGAAAACCAGGACGACCTAAAAAAGTTGGTCCCAATATGATAAAAGCCATAAAACGAATTTCTTCACAAGATCCATTTTTGCCGTCAACGAAGATAAAAGCAAAACTTGAAGAAATGGGCTATCCACCAGTGAGTACAAGGACGATCCGACGTAAATTAGTTGACCAGAAGTTGTTTTCCCGAAGACCCGCCAAGAAACCACTGCCCGATTAGCATTTGCCATGGAATATCAAAACTGGACTGTGGCACAATGGAAAAAGTTTGTTTTAGTGATGAATCAAAGTTTAATTTGGTGTCATCAGATGGAATTCAACATGTAAGAAGACCTCCCAACACACGATTGCTACCAAAGTACACGCGACCCACTGTAAAACATGGTGGGGGCTCAATCATGGTATGGGGGTGTTTTTCTGGGTATGGGATAGGGCCTCTCCATAAAATTGAGGGCATAGTGGATCGGTTTGGCTACAGAGACATTTTACAAAACCGTTTAGTGCCTTATTTGGAGGAAAAAATGCCAGTTGTACACTACTTCCAACATGATAACGACCCGAAACATGCCACACAATTGGTTAAAAGGTTTTCGGAAGATGAAATGGTGACTGTTCTCAAATGGCCATCGCAATCCCCAGACCTGAATCCATTAGAAAATTTATGGGAAAGTTTGGATCAACACATTAGGACCAAATTCTACAAAAATAAGCAAGAATTATTTGCACCTTTGGAAGAGTCTTGGAAAAATATCGATTTTTCTATAATTGAAAATCTTCTGGGATCCATGCCTAAGCGATGTCTGAAAGTAATTAAGAATAAAGGTTATTACACTAAGTACTAGTAAATTATAAGTTAATTTTTCAGTTTTTGTTAACATAAGATTTTTTTTTATTAAATATATATTTTGTTCATCTACTTTTGTCCAATAGTTTTTTCAATTTAAATTTTTTGCTACCTTATTAAAGCACATTTAAAAAAACCAATGCTATTTATTTTTATAGCACTGACACTAGACTTCAAGTAAATATAGCTCAAATTTTAATTTTAAGCATATTAGGAAAACCCCATTATTTTAACAAAGCTCATCCACTTATGGCCAATACTGTATATACTTTTGTAGATGCAAGAGTGCTTTTAACAAATACCTAAATTATTCACCATACAAAATAATTTTGATGCAATAAAATGATAAAATCCAAATTACCTTACTGGTTATAACTGGGTCGGCCCAATCAACCTCGATTTTCGTGTTCCACAGAATCACCCCGGGCCAGATTTTCTTCCTCGCCTCCAGAGCGTGTCTGTGGCTCATATACTCCAAGACGCAACTCTTTTTGTTGTCATACGATTGCCAGGAAATGCTCATCAGCCCGTCATCCACGACCGGCATTAATTCTTCCATTAGCTGATCGTCGGTCATTTTCCAAGGAATATTCTTCATCACCAGCTTGTTATTGTCGAAAGACATCTGGATATATATGGGTAATTATTGAAAAAAAACTGGAAATCGTCCTTTTTTTTTGAATAAAAATTGTATACACCTTATTTTGAGGTTGTAGATTACGAATCTGAACGTTTTCTTTGGTGGTCTCTTACAGTTTTGCAGAAAATTGCAAAAATACGAAGTGTCCCAGAAATAAGTAGTATTTACTAATTAGTATAGTTCGACCCCAGAGGATTTTTTTGCGAATGAAAAATGTTGAAATGTTTCGAGAAAATATTGAAAAACTTTTGAGTGCGGCTTGTTCCATTTCCGGAAATTTGTTTCTAGTGCTTGCAGAGAATGCAATGCTGCTATCTACGTATTGATATTCTGTATGTTTATAAGTTATAAGTTCAGATTTTTAAATTTGAACGAAAAAAAACTTAAAATATGTTTATTCATTGTAGAGTCTTTAATCATTATCGATTACTATTAAGTATGAGTTGGTGCATTTCAGTTGATTGTGGTTTTGTTATAATATTTAAGTGTTTTAGTTTTTAATAGTACAGTTATTGAAACTATAAAACACTCAGGTGCGAGGATGTGTGATGTAACGCTGTTTCGGGTAGTAAAAATTAAGTGAAAAAGAAGAACTGGGCGTCGCTTTGTGTTGTGACACTTTCAAATGTTAATAAAATTGTCGAAAAATGTTAACACGTAAAGAAGCGCGTAATTACATGGTTGTTGGGTGCAACATTCAATAACTCAACTTTCCCGGATATTCAACTCTCCCGAAACAATATTTAGTCAACTAATAACTATTTAGTCAACAAGTTTAATTTATGTCAAATTCAAATTCAAATTCAAATTTCTTTATTAGACCCCATTAAATTTTACAGAATATTATTATTAATAAATGTGTCTAAAGGGATCGCACCGCGATTAAAAAACCGATACAATGATACAAAGTGCCAGAGTAGTGCGACCCCAAAAACAAAATTGAAATAAATTATAAAAATAAACAGAATTAACAAAAATTAAAATTAGATAAAAAAAGCGAAAATATAATTTTATCAGGGATGAGCGGAGAAAAGCAGAGAGGCATAACGAAACAGTGTAAAAACCGGAACAGCAACAATCAGTCGACAAAATTATAATTTTTACGAATTTAGTAAATTATTTTTAATTTGTTATTTATAATCTGTAAAGGATTGAAATTTAAATTTATTAGAAATATTATTCCACAAATGTGGCGCTATGAAAGTGAAAGATTTTTGGAAGTTAGCTGTTCGGTGTTGAGGAATTTTAAAATAATGCACTTGCGACGTGCAATGATCATGGTCAACGTAGTGAAACAATGAGAACAAATAGGGAGGCTGCTCTGTAGTGAAAATTCGATAAATGAATGTCATTAAATGAAATTGTCGTCTGTTACTCATGGATAAAATAGATAAATTTTTAAGATGTGGCGTTATATGATCTCTAAAAGGAATGTTAAAAGAAAACCGTAGACACGAGTTTTGAAGAATTTGGATTTTTCTAGAGAATCTAGCGTTTATGGATGTACCATAAACAACATCGCCGTAATCAAATAAAGATAAACTAAGTGTGTCACATAATTGAGATGTCGATGATAGGTATTGATAATTTCGATTCCAAATAATCTCGAGAACCACAACTCGTAGCGATTTTTACCAAAAGACTGATTTTACGTAAAAAACGTAAATGTATATTTTTTACTCAGTAGTTTTATACAGGTACGGACGAAAAGCTATATAAAAATTACTCTTCAAACCACTTAAAAAATATGTAGGTGGCGCCCTCTACAAACAGGAGTCATATTGACATCAAAATCCCAAATTTCTCATGTCAAAAAGCTCCCAGACACCAAATTTCATCAAAATATTGTCGTTACTTCAGAAATTATTTGGAAAAAATCGAAATAAAATGAAATTTCTACATCCTGTATCTCCGAAACTAAACATTTTAGGACATATATTTATACGAACTTTTTTACTTATTTTTATTTGCAGAATATGCTGCCGAAGTTTCCGGAATACAATTCCGACCACCCTGTATATTAATATGAAATTATTCCATTAGTAACTCCCAAAAAATAAAGCAAAATAAAATATTTCCTTCCCATTTCTTTGGAAACCACCTCAATGTTTTGAGCGACACATTTGTATTTCAACTGTAGGTGTTGTTCGTCCAATCCCAATAGTCGGAGTGAAATTTGAAACACTCGGTATGTAGTAAATAATTACAGAAAAAAATAGATTTGGTAATTATTGGGAAAACTGGAAATTGTCCGATTTTTACCAAAATTGGTATACACCAATATATACACACCCTATTTTGAGGTCGTAGATTACGAATCTGAACTTTTTTCTTGGCGATCTCTTACCGTTTTTCAGAAAAACGGAAAATAATTTCAATATTGAATTCTTCTTTATTTCGGCTCTTATAAAGTAATAATTTCACTATATTTTCATTATATTACAGTTTATCTAAAAGCCACACTTGATTGAGGATAGAAAAATGTCCAAAATTTTACTGAAAAACACTTTTCTTAACAAAATAACAAAAAAAATTGAGACCAGATGGAAGTTTGACATTTCATATATCCCTCTTTCTCTCTCCTATGTAATGAGAGAGACAAATATATTCTAGACCTAATCTAGAAATTTGTAAATTTACAACGTTGCCATATCTTATATTTTTTCGGGTGATTAGGGATTTTAAATAAATTGCCTACTATGAGATCTGACAATAGTTAAATATACCTACCTACATCCACAAAGTTACGCGGAAGAGTTTTGATTGCATTGGTTTCCACATCTATGCGGAGGGGGTTAATCTTTTTTTGTTATATTAAAAAAAAAAGATTAACCCCCTCCGCAAAGAAGTTATATAAAGACTATTTATAACCACGAAGTTGCACGAAAGAGTTTTGATTGCATTGGTTTCAACTACTTTGCGGAGGGGGTTAATCTTTTTATGATATAATATAACAACAAAAGATTAACGCCCTCCTCATGGAAGTTGTAACCAATGCAATCAAAACTCTTTCGTGCAACTTCGTGGTTATAAATAGTCAGATCTCGTTGGTAAAATAGCAGTTATTGGAAGGAGCCGTTCTTCTGGCGACCGGGTTTGGTGATCCCAGAATGAGCGAAAAAAAAACACGCTAAAATTGGCAACGTTGCTTTAATCCAACATTTTCAGATTGTTTAGCAAATTTATTTTAGCAAATTTTCCTCTATTATGCATAGAATTGGTTAAAAAGGTAACAGAAAATAGCAAAAACATCATTGTTTATTGAATATCTAACAAAATATGTGATAGAAAACCTTAAAAATATGAGAAATTAAGAAAAAATCGATGTTGAAATAATTTTTGGTTTTTCTGAAAAACGGAAAGAGATCGCCAGAAAAAAAGTTCAGATTCGTAGTAGCACAGAATATCTAGCTACGCAAAATAGCTAGAGTAGCTAGATATTCTGTGGTAGTAGTGATAGATTGGAGGTCTTAGATTGGATAGTCGTAGTCTACGACTTCAAAATAGGGTGTATACATTTTCGTGAAAATTAGACGATTTCCAGTTTTTCCAATAATTACCATAGATTTTAATCATTTCATAAAATAATTAAAGACAAATAAAAAAGACTCGACGATATCAAAATAGCGTGCATACAAATTTCTGTGAAAAAAGAACGACTTTCCAGTTTTTCCAATACTTACCTGGATATGTACTGGGAATCCAGGCTTGATCTCGAAACCGCTTAAAACCAGAGTGGATATTTTAGCGGCGTCTTTGGTGGTGTACGATGCGTAGCAAAAGTCCTTGTTGTTACCACTAAAGTCCATCATCAAGCGGATCTGGTAGATTTCCCCGCACTGTTCCAGGAAGTATAAGATGTCTGTGATGGGTATGTTTCGTGGTACGTTTTTGAGGAAAACTTCAGTACCGCGAGCGGGACAGGACCTTGTTGAAAATAGTAAAATTTGCTGGCTTCGCAGTTGAAACACTTTGAATTTTTCGTTGTTATGTGTGGATAGCATCTTGGAGAGTAGTCCAGAATTCGATCTGGACAAAATATTATACACTTCACTATCGCAGGACGTGCCAATCCAACAACAAACGCACAACAAACTGTTGTGGTATTCACAGGTGGTATTTTTCTTTGACTTCTTCCGGCAGAATATAGGGCCATACAGAGCTATCGATATATCGAAACATCGATATTTCGACACAAAGATTATGACTTTTTGCTTAAACGAAAATGAATGTCCATTAGTTACGTGGGGGAATCAAAGGGGGATGGATGGGGTCAAGCAAATATTAAATCTTACGGGGGTGATAGAGGGGTTTACGGTAAATATCACGTAATTTTTCGGACAAAAATTAATGTAAAAATGTGAGGAAACAAGATTAATTTAAAGTAAAACATGTTTTGAGACTAAAATATGTAAGGTTCGACTGAGATCTCGGTCTCGGTCTCGGTTATAGTCATTTTCGGCTAATAATCAGGCCGAGAACTCGGTCTCATTCTTGGCATAAAAAAGCCGAGATTATTGGCCACGGCCGAGACTGCTCACGATTGTCATATTAGCTTATTTTTGAGCATATCTATCCACATATTGATGCGTGGATGAATAAAAGACTCGTCCGATACCGAAAAAAAAAGAATTTATATATGATCTGATCGAATCACGAAAGGGATTTCCCGGACGGCTGCGGCAATAGAATCGCCTTCGTATGTAATGTGTAAACAATGAACGAAATGTTAGATGTTAGTGTTTTATTAATGTAAGTTTTATAAATTTAACAGAATTGTGCTTTTATATGAATTACACGTATATCCTACTAAGAAGTAAAATTTTTGTGTGTAATTATTCCACACAGAGTTCTGAAACCAGCAGCTTATAAATCTAGTCAGCACACCAACAAGTGTCTCTAGCAAACAACTATTTAGAAAGAATATGATGAAACACTGCATAATTTGAAAGGATGCAATGCTGAAAAATTATTTTTTTAGCCAATAACATAGACTAAAAAAGTAGTTTTATTAGTATTAGTATATTTATAGTATTAAATCCCAATAAAACAGTTTCTGCATGAAAATGACGTTTTTATTACATTATTATCAAATATTTTTTCATATAATAAATTATATGAATTAAATTTCTCTCGGTCTTGGTCTCGGTCTCGGCCGAGACTAAAAATCTAGGTTTGGTTGGACCTGAAAAATATGTAGAAATCTGACACAATTCTTTTCTATCGGGTGGTGCATCGGTGTTGGAAACATAGGAAATCCCACGCAAATTTTAAACTATACAAATATTGGCTCCCCTATTGATTTTCCAGCGAAGTTGTAACAGCGCTTTCAGAGGGAGCGAAGCGACCGCGACGGACCATCCGCGACTTCGAGCAAATACTATGAGTTTATACTAAGTGCTGGCAAAGGTTAGTCTTGGGTCGAGATTTCCGTATGTAAGAAGAGTACAATGCGTTTATAATGTACTGAACAAAGAGAGGACAGTAAACACGTTGCCAAACGTATGAAATAAACCGAGAAACTGTGCACATCGCTAAGAGACGTGGAAGCAGATTTCTCGCAGTTGACCGGTCGACCCAATCAATACCTCTGTCAGTACTTAAAGTTCTAGGGAAAGGTGTACATCATGCGTTCAGCTTCACGATTTAATTACGTCTCGTGATACTTAATTTGTTTATTTATTAACGAGTCGTAATTTTCCCTATAGCTTGAATTTTTTTAAGTGCAAGTTAGAAACACTTGCATTTTTGGTAAAAATAAGTGGAATTGAGTTGGTGTTCGATAGTGGTCGCGCTATTAGAACTCTGAATTCAAAAATCGATATCTCGAAATCTATTAGAAATAATAGATTGTAGTTTTTTCAAGAACTTTGTTAATATTTCTGCTGTATTTTCTTCGTAAACAGTATGTGAAAATCTTTATCAATAAAAAAATTACACGATTGCTGAAAATTGCTAGGCTCTAAAAGTAAATGACTGGATTGTTTACAACTTTTCAATGGAAAAAACAACCTTATCGAATTTTTTCTTATGTAAACATATTGTAAAATATCCGATCTTCAAAATAAAAAAAAAGTTTCAATATCTAAAGTGATTTTTGAGTTATGGCCTGTGTGTTAAAAAGGCGAGTTTTTAAATTATCGCCATTACTAGGTTTTCTCGTTATAAAAAAATGACACCCTGACGATATCCTTATAATTCCATTGCAGATGCTCAGAAACATGTCTAATGATTTTATCTAGTTATCTCTTGAAAAAAAAGTATTTTAAAAATAAGCGGTTTGCGATCGTGATTTTACTTTACTTGATAGAGAAAGGCGTACCGGCAACGCCGCAACAGCACACCGTCGCATTTCTCTCACTCCGACTTAATAAGATCCCTATGCGAATTACTTCCACACATATAAATGCCGACCCAAAAGTAACAGTTGCCAGCACGGTATGAACAATTTCACATGGGTCGCATATGCTCCGTCCGGATGAGTTCGTCGACGGCTATCTTGAAAAAACACGACGGACGCTCCGCTCCATCTAAAAGCGCTGTTATTTTTAAATTGAAACTGAACATTTAATAATGCAAAACCAGACAAATGCCAACATACTGTAAGTTGTCATCCTATAATTTTGTCAATGTTAAATTGTATTTTCTAAACGTTATAGGCATTTGCATATAACGTTTATAAAATACCAGTTTTAATTTCATAAATACTTTCGGGGACACTAAGCGTAGGTACTAAAATGTAGTAGTGTAAACAGCACAGCAAATTACATTCAATCATAGGTTGACAACTTAAGGTATGTTGATATTATGATATTTGATTGGTTTTGAATTGATACCTGTTCAGTTTTATTTCAAAATAGATGCAGTTTTACTTAGTTTTACTGCATTAGTTATCTCTCAGCATACTTTTAAAAAACAGCACATTTAAAAACCTATTTAAGGCTAACCTTAAAAAAACTTAAGCTGTAAAATTAATAGAGGAGCCAATAATTGGACAGTTCAAAATTTGAATGGAATTTATGAAAAAAGGGTACGTTTTTTAACGATTTCCAAACTTTCCGGTATAAAAAGACGATTTACCGGTAATATTTTACCGCGATTTTAGCATATTTTACCCGGTAAACCGGTAATGCAATCCCTATTAATTTTTTAATATGAAAATAAAGAAAATAATATCGATAATTTTCTATAAAATACGTCCCTACATCTCTTCTAGGCCGGCAACTAGCAAAGGGAATTCTTCTGGCGGTGTTGTCGGTTTTACATATACTAATTATTTTTTTCTATCCAATAACAGTTTTTAAGTAAAAATAAAATACCTATTTTATTAAACTAAAAACCTTTAAAATTAGTTTTATTAATTTTACTCACATTTTGTTTGAATAAAGTTAATATAATCTACACCATTTCTTGTACCTCCCATTTACTACTACTACTATCATTATAAAATAAAACAGAATTGTAATTGAAGTTATGAAATATTAAAGAACTGTAAAGAGATTTTTGCTTAATGTTGTCATTTTAATAAAGAACATTGTATAATTTTAATAGTTGTTTGTTAATATTGTTTATGTTAGCATTATTATTTCAATTCTAAAAATACCTAAAATACATTCTTTTTGTTTATTGATATTCTTAGAACAAAAAAGATAATTATGATTATAATAACGCCATTATTATATTTGAATTAATAGCCATTTTAGCTATATTAATTGCCAAAATTTGTGTGTGTATTGAAGAAATATGAAAACATTGGCAACGTCGAATCAATCGGCTCGGCTATGAAGACAATATAATCAGTTAAAAAAAAAATTAAAATATAAATAAAATATTCCTTTAGATTTTTTAATTCCTAGAATAATAAGATAAGAAAATGTTTATAAAATGACAGACAAAAGGTATAGACAGTGTCGCATCTAGATACTGAGCTGTGTATTGAGATTGAGTCTAGAACATAGACAAACAGAAAAATTAAAAGACTGCCAGAAGACATACGACGCGCAGGCAAATGTACCTGTAGCGCATCGACGCAAGTGCCGAAATACGTCCATCTAGCTATCTGTGTTTCGACACTAGTCCGTTAGTCTTAGCATATTCAGAAAAGAACACGCTAACACTCCCATTTGCCAATTTGTGGGGAATTCCCTCAAATTTTGGGGAATCCAGAGCCCACGAAGTTTTGTGGGGATTTTAGCAATAGGGGGCGAAAATAAGGGGAGTTTCAACATTTTATTGCTGATTGAAAATGGCGTAAAATTTTTAGCTTTAAAAACGGAGCGAGACGATATATCTTTCCCAACTTAAAAATTATAATCTGCTTTTTACTTGTGCTTCCCTTTGCAAATGCTTCAGTTGAAAGAAAATTTAGTGACCTCAAATTATTTAATGACTACTAGGGAAGGGATTAAAAAACAAGGAGGTAATTTACAGTTTAATCTCTCTAACATATATATAATAAATATTGTATTTTTATTAAAATTATTTTTTTTTTGTTAAAATAATCATATGGGGAATTTTTGGTGAATCGGGACATTTTTCTCCCCAAATTGGCGAATTTTATTTAGATTTTTGGGTAGTTTAGAAAATTGACATTGGCAACGCCGCTAACCTCATTCTTTTGTTTGTTGTTTGTTCAAAAAGCGGCACGCGGCGTAGTACTGTTTGACCAGCGGATCTGTAGCTACGGAAGGAATGCGAGAAAAAAAAATCGATATTGCCACGTTTATCTATAAAATTGCAAAATTGCCAGACATGAACTATAAATTTAATATATTTTTATTATATACAATGTGTTTAGCATATATTCTGACGTATATTACTAAGGAATTTTAACGTAGTTCATATTGTTCGATATGTTTTATTTAATAACTTATTTCTTTCATTCTGTATAATCTGCCTATTATGAAAGTTGAAGATTTTCAACGATATCATTGGCAAACCGGCATCGCTTGCGCGCATGGCCGCCTATTCATCGAACATGATTGGCGAGAGTACGTCACAGGATTTGTTACCACGCGGTTGTCATGGCTTTTACGCCTTTCCTATTCGCTTGCTTTATCCCCAACTTCACGGTCTCTTCTGAAAAGAGTAGGAATAT